CACAAAGAGACACACAACACACCACAAAGAGACACACAACAACCACAAAGAGACACACAACAACCACAAAGAGATGCAAAACAAGCACAAAAGGACATTAAATATCTTTAAACTGCGGCGGCCGACGTGCATGAACACAAACGAGCTACAGAAAGAAAACGCTTCACATGCTGTCACACAGCAGAAGAGCTCCAGGCCTCTAGAGGGCAGCAGTGAGCTGCTCACCTGAGAGGCCGAGACAGGTAACGGTAGTGGAGGGAAAAGCCGACCCAGCGTCACGGCAACTCATGAAACAGTCACGACACTTGTTGTTGTTGTTGTTGTTGTTTTGAGTCTGGGACACTAACCAGCGTCAGTCTGACCAGAAGGACGCCTGGAGGAGAACATCGGCCTGAAGATGTTCTGTGATCGTAGCGAGTGTAACAGAGTCCATCGTATTGTGGTGTTGTTTGTGTTTTTGTTGCACCGTCAGTGTTTGGGGGAAGTTAGCGCTCGTTGCTAAGGCAACCGTTAGCGCGTAGCCTCGCCGTAGACCTGGAAGAGATCCGTCCTACAGGGACTGTATTTTCTATTAATGAATAGGGAGCTTATAGCAGCTGGAGCACACGGAACCGGATCAGTACCGGTGTTTACAGAATGTTAACGTTGGTCAGTGAGGGCCACACATCTGTACTGTGATCTCTGTAGGTACCAGAGTGGACGGGTCAGAACAGGACAACTGGTTCTGACTGTGGGAAGAAAAGAATGACAAAAATATCTGACTGACACAAAACAACAACAACAACAACAACAACAATAATAATAATAACAATAATAATAATACTACTACTAATAATAATAATAAGTGTCGTGACTGTTTCATGACTACGTTACCTGTCTCGGCCTCTCAGGTGAGCAGCTCACTGCTGCCCTCTAGAGGCCTGGAGCTCTTCTGCTGTGTGACTGCATGTCAGGTGTTTTCTTTCTGTAGCTCGTTTGGAGACGTTGGACAAAAACCTGTGAATGGACACAACAAATACAAATGGACACAAACTGAATAAAAACAACCGGAACGAGACATAAAATCACCAGAAACAGAAACAACGGCGACAAAGACACAAAACAAATGATTTAAAAAATGAACAAAACTGATTTTGGTGAAATTCTACGTAGGGGCAGTTAGATTTTTAAAATGGGCAAAAATGAGGGAAAATCGCTAAATTCTGACCTTGTTTTTTTCAAAATGGCGGACTTCCTGTTGGGATTAGGGCGTGGCGCTGATTGACTTTTCTGTGCGTCCTGACCTGCTACACCTGGCCACCGAATCTCGTAGCTGTAGGTTAAACGGCTTTCTGACAGGACTCCGTTGAACGCCGGAAACACCCTGAAAATGGACAAAATGGCCGTTGATCGAAGTCGCACGGGCCGTCATTTCCACGCCGTCAGACTTTTGTGGAGCATTTTAAAAATGTTTAATCACCACTTCGTATAGTTTGTGCTGGCCAGATTTGAAATGTGTACGACGTTGTCCCCAGGAGGAGACGGATTTAGAAAATGGCCAAAAATGGGCGTTTTTCGGCGGAAAGCCACCATATTTTTCAAAATGGCCGACTTCCTGTTGAGTTTCAGGTATGTGTTCTTGAGGCTATTTTGTGCGTCTCGGGTTGTTACACCTGTGTGCCGAATTTCGTGGCTCTACCTGAAAGTGTGTTCGGGCCCATTTTTTTTGTAAGTTTGTAGGGGGCGCTGTTGAGCCATTTTTCTACTGAGGTGTGTGTTTCCCCCTAATTATAAAAAATGTTTTCACTGGGTCTGATGTGTGTGGCCAGTTGTGTGCCTGTGTGAGTCCGTTTAGGGCCTCAAAACGCGTTTCTTCGTACAGAATAATAACAAAATTAAAAATAAAAACGCGAGCAGCTCCAACAGGATCCAACACGCTGTCAGCGCTCAGACCGAATCACACACACACACACACACACACACACACACACAGAGGACTAACACACAACCACAAGGACACACAACAGAAATAAAAACCCAATAAACCAACCAAATGAATTTAAACACGTTTAAATGAAATGTGACAGAATTAAACTTTATTTATAATATTTAGATTTAATCGGTTTGTTTTTGTCTGCAGATAAAATGTTTCAATTTTTCACTTTCAATACAAAAATCTTTGTTTTTATTCCCTCTGAGGCCTTTTTCTCCTCCTTCCTTTAAACCAGAGATGACTTTATTATTATTATTATTATTATTATTAATATAATATGACTGAGGAGGAGGAGGAGGAGGAGGGGCCTCCCTCTCTCTCTCTCGTTGCTGTTTTTTTTTCTCTCTCTCTCTCTCTTTTTTTTTTTTTGCTCCAGACCGTAAAACCGGCCACGGAGGCGCAGCGGCGGCGGCGGAGCAGCGGAGCACCGCGGAGGAGGAGCAGCCGGGCAGCAGGTCGGAGGATCCGGGCGGCGCTGGTGGATGTAGCGCTCCTTCTTTTCCCCCTTTTTTTTTTTTCTTGGTTGTTGTTGTTTTTGTTTTTTCCGTAGAGGAGGGAGGAGGAGGAGGCTGATCTTTTTTTGTTTTCTCGCGGAATGTGCGGCTCCTCCTCAGCTGCACCTCCAACTTTGTGAGTCCGAGCTCTGATGCTGAGCGGCGCCGCAGAGGATGGGAGTAAGCTGGTCCTCCAGATGCCTGGCTCTGCTCCTCGCCCTCCACATAGGTGAGCGACCTCCATCTTTACCTCCTGCTCTCCGCTCGCCTCACAAACATTCGCTCCTCTTTGTTGCGCCGCTTCCAGAACCAGAACCTTCACGTTCTGCTGCTTTAGAACCGTTTTTACGCACAAATGTTTTACGCGCATTCCTTGTTTTTAACATTGGCTCAGTTTCCTCCTGAGGATGAGGAGCCTCCTGAGGATGAAGAGTTTTTAAATGTAGACTTTAATTCGTTTCACACTTGAACTAAAACATTTTTTAAACGTTGCTTTCTGGTTTCCGGGGCTCCGCTTCACGCTGACACGAGTGTGTGTGTGTGCGTGACACGAGTGTGCGCGTGCGTGTGCGTGTGCGTGACACGAGTGTGCGTTAACAAGGGGAATGCCCCCCTCCTCCCCCTCCCTCCCCTCCTCCTCCCCCCCGGTTGTCCCGAACCGGAGCCGCATTTATTTCTATTTATTGTTAATTTAAACTTAAATTATTTTTATTTTTATTGTTTTTATTTGTAGTTTAAATGTTTTAAAATGTATAAAAAAGGTTCGTTTGGTTTGTTTAATGTGATGCACAGAGAACAGAGAGAAAAAGGCCCGCAGAGGTTCGGTTCTGCAGGAAAAGGAAAACAAATCCCAGATATTAGACGTGTCCGAGCAGAACCGCTCTCAGTCCGTCTCCGGTCCGCTGGTGTCGGTTCTCCCGCCGCAGTGTGCGGAGCTGCACCGGTCCAGTCACGGACGGAACCAACCACCAGCTGCTCCTATTTATATCTATATTTATATTTAATTATTTTTTATCTCTCAGATAAAATTAAATTAAAACACAAAGAGGACGTTCGATGCTCTCCGTGTCCGTGCACGCGCCTCACGCGCGCACGCACGCAGGAAAATTACAGCATTTGATTTTGTTTGTTTGTAATTTTTAGTTTTAACATTTCAAACTAAAAGCAGCGTTTTGGTTTCAGCGAAAATTAAAGAAAATAAAATAAAAATAAAATAAAAGCGGGCGCCGTCTAATGCGTGGAGCAGCAGGACCACGGAGCTGGTTGTTGTTCTGTTGCATTGCATAACGACGGAGGAGGAGGAGGAGGAGGAGGAAGAGGAGGAGGGCTGTGCGTGCGTGTGCGTGTGCGTGTCGGAGAAATGCTGAATTATTCAAGACGCAGGATGCTCCTCGGTGCTATTGTTGGAGAGACGAGCAGCTCCACGAACCAAAACCAGCAGCAGGAGAAGGAACCGAACATCTAAACGTGTCTGCGGCTGCTGCTTCCTCTCAGGCTTTGAATCCAATCATTGCGCATTTTGTTTGTTGCACATGAACCGACTCCTGCTGCTGGTTTCCGTCCGGAGCCGCTGCGGCGCGTGGGGTCGGAGCTTTGGCGCGCTGCTGCTGCACCAAACAGCCTCACGTTTCCCGCACATTTCTGCACAAAACACGCAAAGTTGAGCCAGAGCGGATTCGTGCTGTTGTTTTTATTTTATAGTAAATTTGTTGGTATTTTTGTTTTTTGCTTTTTAAAATTATTTCTTGTTTTTTACGCGCGTAAAATGGCCTCGTGCGTGTGTGAGCCGGAGGTGGGTGTGTCCGCCGCGTGAGGCTCCAACACGCTGCTTCTGGCACCGACACACTGCAGGCAGCAGCGTGAGCGTGTGTGTGTGTGTGTGTGTGTGTGTGTGTGTGTGTGAGAGGAGGTGAATGAGTGCGCGTGATGGGAGGCGTGAACGAAAAGCAAAGAAAAGAAAAACGCGCCTCCAGCGGGACCGTCCTGGTTTTAACTGAGACACATCCAAGAATAAAAAGAATGAAAACGAATTAGTGGCAGAAAAATGAAGATTTCTGTTGGATTTTTTCATTTTTAAAGAAAAAAAAATGTGATTCAAGTCCAACTAAAGGCGACAGAAACGAATGAAATCAGAGAAAAATAGAAACAAATCGCTGCTTTTGTTTTATTCTGCGGAGAAAAGAGTAAAAACTCAAATTAAAAAACCCAAAAAGAGCCAAAATAAAACGCGTTTCAGCTCCGTTTTCATTTTACTCCCATTAAACGGAGCCTACGTGGAGCTTCCGGCCAATAAAAAGCGGATTTTGCTTCATTCATGCTTTTTTTTGGGTTTTGTTTGCAGCTGATTGGTGCAAAACAAAAAGAAAAAAAAAGAAGAAGAAGCTGCAGAGTTTCATGTTGCAGCGACTTGACTGTGAGATGATGTAATGCCTCCAACATCCCGAGAAACAAAAGATCCGCTCACACACAGAGAAATACAATAAAAACGGATTCAAACCAGAAACATCTCCAGATTTCTGTGAACGTGACGGATCATCTCAGGGCTCGAATGAATCCCTGCAGGAACTCTGATGAAACGTGAGGAATCATCTGCAGCCAGAAGCTGTTCTGCTCCTGCAGCTGCTTCGCTTCCCTCCGCTGACAGAAACCCTGATTTTCTAAAAAGTCCTCAGAGTCCTTCAGCTTCACGTCAGCTCAGCTTCTCATTGAACGTTTGACGTCTGATGAGAAAAATGTTCAATCGGAGGCTTTTTGAAGCTTCTCTGCTGCTTTTAAAACACAAACACTCCCAGAAATCACCATCATGAGTATTTTTATTTGTTTAATTGGTTCGAATTTAATTTATCTGTTAAAGAATTCTGATTCCACAATTTATGTTTAATGTGAAATAACATTAAGAATCTGCTGAATTCAATAGAAATAAAAAACAAAAGCATTTCACTAATTTTCCTTTTTTTTTAAAAATTTAAACTGTTTAAGATTCAAGTTTAATAAAATATTTCTAAACATTTAGATGCAATCAGCAGAAAAAAGCTGAACTAATATATTTAATGTTGGCTTTCTTCATCTTTTAGTGACACCTGCTAAACAAAAGGCCAGAGATGTGTTTTCATCCACTTCTGTGTTCATTATGAGATATTTATATTTATTTATGAGGGATTTTCTTTGTTCCTGCTGCAGCCAGAAAATTACAGCAGATTTTATTTGTGGTTCAGTTTAGTGTCAAACAAATAATATCAATAAAAAAACACGATTTTTAATCATAACATGAAGCAGAAGAATAAGATTTAAGCTCCTATTTATCCTTCAGATGGTCTTTATTCTGTTTTTATTTCTACTTTTTTTTTGTTTTAATGTCTCTGAAAATATGAGAATTCAGATTATTCTGTGTTATGATTTGGCTCAAATCAAATCAAATCGAATTAAATAATAATAATAATAATAATAATAATAATAATAATAATAATAATAACAACAACAATAATAATCTAAAGCCAAGGGGGAGAATTAAAGACGCGTTACAGCGATATTATGATTTAATAAAATAGCGAAAAGTTAAATTATAAAAACATCATAGGAAAAAACTAAAACATGCAGAAATCAATCAGTTAAAACTGGTTTTGAGGGAAATTTAATTCAGCTTAATTAAAAACGACGCAGATTGTTGCAGTAACGTGTTTGTTAGTGAGACAGCGTTGGTTCAACGTCGTCCTCCTGCAGCTGTTTTGGAAACATTCGTTAAAAATGGAGGTTATTTGTTATTTTTCCAACAGCAGAGGCCGGACGAGGCTGCAGGAAGCTGGAGCTGGTTAGCGTAGCTTAGCATAAAGACTGTAAGCGGAGGGAAGCAGCTAGCGCAGCAGCAAAACCAGTTTAATCTTGTTTTTTAGATTCACACACCAACAAAAAGTCAAACCACGAATTCTCTATTTCTGTCCATAATACACGTTTTGGCCACAAGGGGGCAGCACACACGACAAGCGTTGTTTTGGTTGTTTTGCGATTATTTTACAAACCTCGTCGTTACGGAGCAACACGATGGTGTTGGTGGCGTCTGGTGGCTTCGTTTCATCGATGTTCAGGCCCTTGTGGCTCCATGTTTGGTCTCCACCTCCTCCTCAGGAGGACATGTGTCTCCAGCTGATGAACCTTCTGATGATGAACCGGTTCTTCTCTAAACCGGATTCTGCTGCTGCTGCGTGAGGTTCTAAGAACTGAGTGAAACGAGGCCTGAAAACACGTTTAGTCGATTGAAAGTTGGCAAAAATGAACCGAAACAAGGGAAAATCAAATTAATTTGGTCAAAGGTGTCACGTGCAGGAGGAGCTGCTGACGCGTCTGCTGTGACGTCACGTCATGGCGTTAAAGTTCTGGTTCTGGTTCTTCAGTGACGCTATTACCAGTAAAGACAAACAACATCTATACACTGCTGGTGTTACTATTATTATTATTATTATTATTGTTATTGAGAGCTTTTTATGGTTAACATGTGGACATTATTTTATTTTACTGGACATCTGGAGTTTAACAAAAAAAGGAAAAATCTGCAACACAAATATTGTCCAAATATTTCACATTTTTCTCTCAAATAACAGCAAATAATGAGAAAATAATGACATTTTTAGATGATTTAAATACAGGAATAATATGTTATTTTATTTTAATTTATTGTATTTTATTGAAATTGTGTTTATTATTTTATTTTAATATTTTTATTTTATTTTATTATTTTATTTTAATTATTTTTTATCTATTTTATTTTTTGACTATTTTATTTTTTCTATTTATTTTATTACATTTGATTTGATTTGATTTTTATTTTACAAACATAGTAAAAGAAAGAATGAGCACGAGTAGAAACACAAACTGGTTTTTGTCTTTTTCATTTCAGCCAACATGTAAAATAAAATCGTTTCCTGTGATTTGATGAAAACAAGGAACAAATCTGTAAAACAACAGTTTAAAAAAACATTATTTATCATTTACAATCCTTAATATTCATATTTTCTTCTTTCCACTGACAGCAGATGTTTTTAATTTAATATTTCTGCCGATTTAAACAGAAAAAGTTGTGACGTCACGTTCAAATGTTGTCAAAGAACAAATCACACAAATAAACAACCAGCATGTAAATAAACAGATTGTTTTTAAATGTTATGATGAATTTGAACATGTTTAAATGTTTAAATGTTTGATTCACATCATTTTTGGTTCATTTAAATAAAATAAAACCTCTAATTTTATGGTTTTATGTTTTAATTCAGATTCTTGACGTGGAAATTATTTACAGTTAATTTATTGTTTTGGTGATTTTAAAGATTTTATCTGCAATTTAATTAAAAAGAAAAAATCACACAAAAACAAGGAAATTATGTAAATTAGCGGTGATTTCCTGAATAAATAAATTAAAGGTTAAACGTTTATAAAAGCAGCATGTTCAGGTCGGTGCTCCGGTACCGTGACCCGGAACCATCTCGTGATTTATTGGACCAACCGGCCCGTCCTCCTCTAACAGCCGTGCAGCGCAGAACACGTCACGCCGTGTTGGTTCGGCCCGGTGGAGCGGAACCGGACAGCAGACGTGTTATTATCCAAACCGATCAATCGGCTTAACCAGCCGCGCGCGCGCACGCAGACAAGCCGGGGTCGTGCAGCGGGGCGTGAGCGCGCCGCCCGCGGGGGGAGGGGGCGTGTCGGAGGCGGCGGCCCGCGCGCTGCCTCGTGGAGGTTTTCTCCTCCTGTTCGCGTGAAGCAGGGAGGCGCTGATTGGACACGCTGCCTGTCAGGAGGCGGACGGTTCGATCGGGTCTGAACTATAGGAACAGAACCAGTCCAGTACATGGACCCAGTGGTTCTGCTGTTAAATCTGATGCACCTGAACAGGTACAAGCTAAAAGCAGAACCAGAGAGAAGCTCAGACCATGAACCGGATGGATGATGGTGGAAATAAAATGTTCAATCTGTCACCTGACAGGACAAAACACTAACGGCTAACAGTTCACATGTTAGCCAACAGTTCACATGCTAGCTATATAATAAGTTAACTAGTTAAACATATTGGACAAAATGTTGGAATAGCTAACTAGATTAGCGATGAACAGGTACAAATGATTAGCCAGAAGTATGGCTAGCAGCTGAAGCTACTGGCTGAAAGCGGTTCAAATGTTAGCTAACAGTATAGTTAAGCATTATAAATAAAATGCGGTACAATAGCGAAATAAAATGGAACCATAATTGACAATTGTTGGCTAACAGCATGATGAAGCAAATGAGATAATTAGTAAAACATATTAGAAAAACTGTTGGAACAGGTAAATATGCTAGGAATAAACAGTTGGAAATGATTAGCTAAAAGTACGGCTAGCGGTTGAAGCTACTGGCTAAAAGCAATTGAAATGTTAGCTAACAGTATGGACAAACAGATCAATTGTTAGCTAAACATTACAATCAAACAGCTAAAATAGCGAGTAAAAATGGAATTCTAAGCAGTTTAAGTTCATAACGAAGTAGCTCGCTAAAATTCATAAACTGGAAATGTGTTGCTAAAGGTGTGGCTAGCATTGCGATGCTAGTTAACAGTATACACAATTGTTAGCAAAACACAGTTGACAAAATGTTGAAATATCCAAAAGCATAGCAAAAAACATGACCAACAGTTTAAACTGTGAGATTCAAGTGGATAAACAGTTAAAATAGTTAGCTAAACTGTAGACGTAGTTGAAACTTGTGAGATTAAAGTATCGCTAACAGTATAAATTACTTGATGAAACCAGATGCAAAGCTAAAATAGCAATTTTTCAAAATTGCTCGCGTAAAGAATGGCTGGAAGTGTAAACCGTGGACAAAAAGCTAAAACAACAGCTAAAATTTGTAAAAAAAACGATTGTTCCAAGTATAAATGTTAAATTGTTAGCTAACAGTCTGGACAAACAAATAAAATTGTTGGTTAAACATAACGGAGAAAAAGTTTAAAAATCCAGCTGGGTTTGGAATAAACAGAAGGAAATTAATAGCAAGAAGTACCAGAGGCTAAAAGCAGATAAAACATCTAAAATCATTGTTTTTATTTACCTTTGTAGCAACAGGAACGCTGTGTGTTTACGTCCGTGGTACGAATCGCAGTAATTAGCCTGCTTTGTGCTTTTGTCATATTTTCGTGGGTCGTGTTTTAGCTTCAGTTCTTGAACATTCTTGTCTTTTTGCTTTTTGCTTCGCTGGTTGTGTTGTTTTGTTTCTCTGATCTTGTAACTTGTGCCATGTTTTCATACATTTGTGTTTTAACTTTCTCTCTTCTTTTAAGCTAACTAGAGTTTTGAGAAGTGTAATTACACTTTAACTATGTGGCTCCGTCTGTACGCTGATGACACCGTCTTTTATATGTGATTTGAACATTTCCACTTTGTTTTGATAAACACATGCACCAACCACACAGACTGAAATACCGACTAAAGGGAAGTTTGAAGTAAGAAAAGTGAGGTGTGACTTACTTCCTCTGAGACGGATGAAGGAAGCTGGAGTGGATCAGAGGCCTGCCTTCGTCCTGCAAGGTCAAACAGAAGATTGCTGTCATTTTATTTAATGTGAATTTGTCTTCCCTCCCCTCCCCAGTCTCTGTGTTGCAGACGGTGCTGGTCAGTGCTGGTCAATGTGACTCGGTGTTCAAAGGTTTCTCAAACTGTCTGATTCAGTTGGGGGACGACATGGCCAACTATCCCCAGGACCTGGACGACAGGGAGAACCTGCACAAGATCTGCACGTACGTTCACCCACACCAGAAACACACTGAGCTATGTGTTGGAACTGAGCTAAAACAATACAAAGTGATGCGTAGCATGTGGCATGCAACACAAGCAGCGCCCCCTGTTGGCGGTAGAAATTATGACGAGAGCAGAGAAGCAAGCGAGGTTCTGTTTGCTGCAGTGAGGAGGTCGGGGTGGATGGACGTGTCGACGAAACATTGGAGGCCGAGGTCGTGTCACCATTTTAACCACAACTGTGTCACAAATAAAATCGAGCCAAACGAACAGATAAATCAGTTATAAAACCTTAATCGTGTATAAATTTGATTTTCTCTCTTTAACTGCTTCTCACAGAGAAGCCGGAAACGTCCTCGTGACACAGAACGCCACGAATCATCTTTCCTTATTTATTTTACAAAACAAAAAAAAGGAGGCTTCACACACGATCCGGTTCGCGTCCAGGCCCGTCTGTAAACACGAACCAGTCGCGGCTTCACGGTTGTTGCTCGAGAGCTTTTTTTTTTTTCTCCAGTTTTTTTCTGGTGCAAAAGTTTCGCTTATCGTTGTTTGTAAAGTATTTAATTGAGACGTTTGAGGGGATTTTGATGTTTTGGGCTCAGATCTGGACGATCAAACCACACGTCCAATAAGAGCGGCGCAGGTTTACGGTTTCTGTCGTGATTTTCGAAAAGAAAAAAAGTCTTTTTACATCAACTGGAGACTTTGTTCGCCTCTCAAACACGTCCCAGGATGAATATTTTGTGTAAATTAGGTTAAAGGGAGATTCCCCCCCTAATGCTATATCGTACACATGCTAATATGCTAATATTTTCTTTACAACTGATTCTTGGTCAACTATTGATGACGGATAAATCAGTTTTTTAGAGGGAAATGTTTGCATATTTTCAGTTTTTCCCCTCCTGACTGTTTGGTGAGAGAACCAGCTAGCGGCGGCCGCGCTAGCACAACGGTTAGCTGCAGGGCTGCTAGCGTGTCGGCTCCTGACTGTTGCTCTCGCTGAAAATAATATGAGTAATTTAGCCACCAGCCCTGAGGCGGGGTGGGGGTGCAGTTAGTTAGTAATGGGCTGTGCATATGTGCAACCCCCTCCTCCGCCTCCTGCTTTAATCCACCCAACACAGCAGCATCCAGGCCGGGTGGGCACCAGATGGCACCCTGCAGCAGGAAGCCCCCGCCGCCTCCCGCTCATGGTTTTTTAATGCAGTGACAGCTCCATCACAGCGGTGTCGAGGCGTGGCGGCGGCGGCGTTAATACGCCTCCCCCCCCTCCCCCGTGCACACGCTCGCATGATAATTGCTCCGAGATGCGGCATCGACACGACCCGGTTCAGGAGGTCAACATCAATAAGAGCAGATTGGAAGATTGGATTAGATACGCCGCCGCCGCCGCCACGTGTCCTTTGTGTGAGCGCTGCAGCCGGCTGGTGTCGATTTCACAGCAACAGGGAGGAAGGAGGGAAAAAAGAGATGGACAGATGAAAGGTGGAGGTTAGAAAATAAAAAATAATAAAAAAAAAAAAGGAAAAAGAGACAAAACAGAAGAGGGAAAATGAGGGCAAAGAGGAGGAGGAGGAGGAGGAGGAGGCCTCAGTATGAATAAAACATAAAGGCAAAAGCATGAAGAGAGGACGAGAGGAAGGAGCAGGAAAGGGAAGGAAAAGGATGAAATGAAAGCAGATAGCGTCAAAAGATTTAATACTGTAATTTAATCACAGTCATCCTATAAAAGAAATGTTATCTTTAAAAAGAAAAAAATGCCAAAATGCTGCAATTTATCACTTTAAAGGTAGAAAGAAGCGTCAGATTCTCAACTTGTCATTGAACACATCTTCTGTCAAACACCAGCTCGACGTGTGAAGTGTTAAATAAAAGTGAATGAACAGCCGGAATAGAAAACTAAAATGCATGAACACCGGAAAACTGTAAATTGTTAAATTGCTCGCTATGGCCAATATTGTAAATTGTTAGACAAAAATGAATAAACAGCTAAAACATAAAATACATAAACAACTGAACGTTGCTAGCTAAAGGTGTGGCTAACAGTGTAAATTGTTAGTTAAACGTGATCAAACTGCTTAAATAGCTGGCTGAAATGTATAAAACCCTGGACTTTGTTTTAGCTAAAAGTATGGCTAGCAGTATAAATCGTCAGTTAAAGGTGATTAAACTACTGAAATAGCAACCTAAAATACACAAATAACTGTAAATCATTAGCTAAAGGTGTGGCTAACAGTGCAAACTGTTGGTCAAAAGTCGATAAACCGCTAAAATAGCTGCTTAAAATGTAGAAACAATTAGAGTTTTTCAGCCAAATGTATGGCTAGCAGTGTAAAATGTTAGCTAAATGTCATCAAAGTGCTTAAATAGCAACCTAAAATACATAAACGACTGTAAATTGTGAGCTAAAGGTGTGGCTAGCAGTATAAATTGTTGGTTAAAAGTGGCACTGCAGTAATAGCTGGCTAAAATGTATAAAATCTTGTATTTTTTACGGCCAAAGGTTTTTCTACAACTATAAATTGTTTGCTAAACGTTTGGCTAGCAGTATAAATTGTTAGTTAAAAGTGACTAAACTACGAAAACAGCACGCTAAAATACGTAAACAACTGAACAGTGTTAGCTAAAGTTGTGGCTAACAGTGTAAATAGTTAAAGGTGTCAAATTGCCTAATTAGTAACCTAAAGTATATAAACAATTATAAATTGCTAGCTAAACGCATGGCTAGCAGTATAAATTGTTCATCAAAGGTGATTAAACCACTAAAATAGCAACCCAAAATACATGAACTGAACATTGTTAGCTGACGATTTGGCTAACAGTGTACATTGTTAGTTAAAGGTCATGAAACTGCTTAAACAGCAACCTAGAATACATAAACAACTAAAAATTGTTAGCTAATGACTTGGCTACCATTGTAAATTGTCAAAAGCAGAGAACATAGCTCGCTAAAATGTACATAAAATGTGAAGACTGCAAACTAAAATATGGCTAGCAGAGTACATTTTCACATAAAAGTGCGTAAATAGCTGAAAATACGGCTAAAATACAAACGCAGAAGTATGACTAGCCGTGTGAACTCTTAGGTAAAAGTGCATAATGGTTTGTACACATTAATTTAACATTTTATTTAATTAGCTGTGGTATGAATAAATCAAAATGTCAACAAAACACCATCACGTCAAAGCAGTGAGTCGGTAGTATTCAACAACAACTGTAAAAAAGCCAAAAGCTAAAATTTAAAACCACACTGGGAGGTCATTTCAAAGCCGACTGGAACAAACTCAACAATAATCCAGCCGTCTTTCACTTATGTGCTCACGCAGCCTAGCATCCATTAACATAGTGATGACGTAGCCATAGCATCTTTTATTGTTCGCTGCTAGAGGACGTGAGCTCCGGGGTGTCTGGTGAAGCAGCTCGTGTTTTGTCTTTAGCGTTTGTGTCTCTTGGCCCGACGCTGACGGGAAGGACGGAGCAGGAATCTGCTCAGAGGCTCCGGCACACTTGCTTCAGTTTTGTTTTCCTGTTATATATAAACTAGAAGAAGTTCACCGGCTGTGTCTTGGTAAGCTTCTCCCTCGCTGTGCCAGATTCTGGGATGACTTCCACTCTTGGCTCTGCCTCCGGAGTCGTTGATGCGTTCAGTTTAGAACCGGCCTCCCACTGCAGTCGAGGGCTTGTGGTGTTAACGCTTGCTGTGTTTTCTCCTGCCAGCTACTGGGATAACTTCCACTCCTGTGCCACGACGGCGCTGGCCGACTGCCAGGAGGGAGCGACGGACCTCTGGGACAAACTGAAAAAGGAGTCCCGCAACCTGAATTTCCGTGGGAGTTTGTTTGAACTGTGCGGCGGCGGCAACGGAGCCCCCAGATCCGCCGACGCCAGGGGCCTGGTCCTGGTCCTAACCACACTGCCCACCATACTGACTTGGCTGGCGTTTTAACGGGAACGAGGAAAAACATAGAAACACGAAGCGACGAGGAGCTATAAAAAAATAAAATAAGAAAATAAAAAAAGTGGGGGAAAAAAAAAATCCAAGCGAAAAAAATAAAATAGCAAAAGAGTGATAGCTGCTCTTCGATACTGAATTCATCACGAGATAAAAAAAAAACAACAACAAAAAAACACCCAAAATGGATTTGTACTGCGACATCACCGGACGGCGGCCCGGTTCGCCTTCCTGGGACTCTGCTGGCCGTCCTCCCGGAGCGCTCATCCAATCACCTGCCCCAGAGGTCGATGACATGAAATATTCAAGACGCCGTCGAGCCGAAATGATGACAACGATGAAAATTTGATGGATTCTTGCCCGCTTACAATCGTGGAATTACACAGTATTAAAGTCAACCATGAATTATTGATGTTCGTAGGCTAGGCCTGGACAGCACTATGTGACTGCAGGGTGCTGGCACAGTATCAGGCTATATATTAGGGTTCCCATATAGCCGGAGGTACGTATTCATGTGTAACGCCGGGCCGAGCTTCACGCCACAAAATCAATAAGACAAGCTGAGGCCTGGAGCCCGTTTCAGACCCGTCGCCTCATCGCCACCACGGACAGTTTTTCCTTTTTTATGACGCCAAGTTGACTCGGTTGAGTGCGGTAGACTCGATGGACTGAATGCCTGATTGTGATGTAATATTTGTACTTGTATTGGCTATTTATTGTGCTCAGGCCACGGTCACACCAGCTCCTTCATCCATGGATTGGTCACAACTGGCAGCAAAGCCGGTTTTTGCGAAACGCCCGCCTGCGAAGGTCGGCGTCGAGGAAGCGGTTCTGGCCTTCGACCCGTGCAGCATGGCTTGCAGTCAGTCGTGAGTCTTAAATTTCTAGTGTTTTGTTTCTTGAGCTGGCCAGTTTGCTACCACGTTATGAAATCAACGCCACGTGACGAAATCTCGCTGCGTCAGCTTCTGGTGTGACCGTAGCCTTCTTTCCCCACCAAACGTTGAGGTGCAGGGATGTAGTTGAGTATCAAGCCTGCTTTTCTAGACTGACGTTAACCTGCATGAAATCAGTTCAGAGAGTCTCAAACGTTTCAGGAAATGGGCACCGACGCCGATGTGTTGGCGCTGGTCGGATTCAAGCTCGTTCGAGGCTAGCTAAACAAACTGTGGCTAATTTTAATCCCAAATTTTGTCCGAAATCGAGCAAATGATGCCTAATTGAGTCACAAATCTCCTGTCGTACCTAGCTAGCTGGGTCTTAGTTTATAATTAGTATAGCTGTTAATCTGATTGACCCTGATTCGCCTAAAAGTCATGATGGCTAAACATGAACAGTTTAGCAGTGAAAGCAGATCAGTGACGTCAAAGGCCTAGTTTGGCAAACGATGAATGTGTTAACAGTCTAGAGGCTAAACGAGACAATGCTTACGTTGGCAGCTAATAACTGCTTGGTTAGCGATTAAAAACAGGTTACCATGTTAGCTAACAGTACGGTAAAGCCAGTAAACTGAAACCAGGTTAGCTCATAGCTAGCTAATAATTTGAAATTGAATTGAATTAAACAAGGCTGAATCAACTCAGCGAACAGTTTAGCTCAGCAACTAAAAATAGATGAGGTTTAACCCAAATGACTGTCTAGCAACAAAGAGGTTAATGGGTTAGTTAACGGTTTAGAGCCTAACAAAGTTTGTGTTTGTAGCTAAAACACACCGGAGCACATTAGCTAACTGTTTGGTTGGGCAGTTAAACAGATTAATAAGTCACCCGGGCTACTTTTGAACAGCTTAGCATCTAAATTTAACAATTTAACAAGCAGCTAAAGTAGAATGAGCTTGTATAGCTAACAAGTTAGCAGTTAACAGTGTATTTTAAAGTCTAATTTAGACAGTGTTTGTGTTGGCAGGTAACTGGGATTGTGTCAGGTTAGCGAGCCATGCGGTTAGCGGCTAAAACACATTAGGTCAGGTGAGCAAACACGTAAGGAAGCAACTAAAATACAGATACAGCGCAACAGGTAAACTGAGTGTGGCTAGCTCAGTTAAATTGGGTTGAATCAAGTTAGCCAGCAGTTCAGTTAAGCAGCTAAGACACTGATAAGTTGACTATTGGCTGCAAAGCATGAGATAGCTTAGCTTACACTTTTGTTGGGATTAGATCAAGGCCGGTTAGTTAACGGTTTGGTTTAGAGGCTAAAACAGAGAATGTGGTGTTGTGCCAAGTTAGGTAACCATCTGGTTAGCTGTTTTAAATGTATTAGCTCAGGTTGGCCAACAGTTTGGTTAGCAGCTAAAATGTATTAGGCTGGGCTAGCTAACTTTTTAGCTAGCAGCTAAAATGTATTAAGTC